AATGACACAGGGTTTACTCCGAGGGGCTTCGGTTCGCCCACATTTTAACCATAATGAAAAAAAATAATCTTAGTTAAGAGAAGAATCATCTGGTGGATCGCGACATGGGACATCAGGTGCTATAGGGCCACACAGGTGCCTCAGTGTAACACTGTGGCCTTGCAGCTATAAGGTGAAGGTTCACTTCCAGCCTATGAACCCCTTTTGCTGTGAGGAGTACAGAGTGCTCACCGTGTTGGCGTGGGTTTTCCCCGAGAAGCTTCGGTTTCCTCCCACATTTTAAAAAATAAATGAATGAATAAATAAATTAATAATCTAAAATAAAAACAAACAACATAACATAGAACAAACAATCTGTCTGATAAGAGTCTCACTATGAACTACTGGAAACAGTAAATGTTTTATACTTTCATGTACTACTCCGAGCAGGTTTATCAGATCCAGCTGAACTTCAGAAGACCTTTCAGACATTGCTGATGATGTGTAATAAAAGTTGTGACGCTTCGTCGAATGGCGTGTTTGTGGCGTTGTATTTAGATGTACCACGAGGACACAGGAATTTCCTTGTACGTTGTCTAATCTTCACCAAACTTCACACATCTGATGAGAGTCCCACTCTGGACACATCTAGATGCAATATTCAGTCATACTTATAGCGCCACCCTCTGGTAACAGGAAGTAAGCCTTATATGGCAGTATTTCCTTGATATTTGCGTGGGGTGATGTATGCGTGATACGCTGGAGCACAACGAGGCACATCGCCGTTTGCAGCTTTAATTCTATTTTAATAAACATTTTTACAGAATTTAGCTTCAGAGGAATGTTCTTTGATCACAAGAGATTGATTAACAAACGTTTTCTTTATATAAGTTGCTATACCGGTACTTACAAGTACAGATATTGGCACATATCATAAAAAGTTAATTATTAGAGCATTACTGTAACAAAACATGTATTCTCCCCTTTATATCTTATATGTTAAATGTTTTACTGTTTAACTGGGTACGATGAAGAATTATGTTTCTAAAAATATATCTTAACTAATCACACTTTTATAAGAAACATCACAAAATATCTACAGATTTCTACAATATCTGAAGTTTATTTAAACACATATTTGATATGAAATTGGACCCAATAGCAACATCCGGTTGCCAGGTAAATAAAGGGCACTTATCCCCCATACGACTTCAATAACGATTAATCAATTTGTAGAAGTTTCTGCCTTTAACAAATTTTGATAAGCAGATTTTGTGCTACCAATTTTTACAATATTAATACACAAGCTAGATGAATGATTTATTTTCCTAAATTTTTCTAGGCATGCCTTTATCTTTAATAACCCTTGAAAATACAGATTTAAAATGGCCATAACTCTCTAACAATCCTACAAACAATGATTAAGATTGTCTAACCCTCGGTGGGTTTCCAGGCACCTTTCTTTATGTGTTTTCAATTCGCGCATAAAAAAATGGTGTCACAAAAAAGCTGAGGTGGAAACGTTGGTTTATCGTCAAAAGCAAAAAGCAACAAAGTACAATGGAAACAGGCTTCGACATCTACTCAAGAGACAAACAATAGCAGCAGACAAATACACCAGATCTGAGCGTAACGACTGTAACCTATAATTAATACATGAAACAAACTGAAATGTCACAATTCACATCGTGTTTTCTTTTCCACTCTTTTCGTCTGCACTTAATAGAAGAAATAGCGCCACCTACAGTTTATCTCCACAAATAACTGGATAACGGTAGTGGATAGAAATATGCCTCATTTGCAGATTTGCACTACATTGGGATGTAAACCTAGCTAAAGTATTATGATGCAGATTACACATTTCAAAAGGTATTAATAATAAAATTAAAAATTCTGCATTATGGCTACTCTATACTTCCTGTAATGTCTTCTATCATTTGTGGTGTGCAAGATACTACACTGGGAATGGTGACAGACCTTTTTCCTTGAGGGACTCCTTTTCTGTCATTGAGTAAACTGATGACCCCTCACTCATATTTCATAGATATTTCATATTATATTCAATGCAAAACAATAACAGCACAGAACAAACGATAAACTGTACAATGATACCAAATAGTGATCGACATAACTGCAGGAAGTTTGTGTTAAACAAGCAATTTGGAAGGAAGTTCTAGCAGATTATTTCCTGAGAGATGAGTTTTACTGATATTTTCTTCTCAATCTTCTTTTAGCTGTTCGGTTGTTTTACCAGAGTTAAGAGAAATAATAATCTAAATTTAAGAAAATAACAATTTCATTTCGTTTTCTTTACAAAAATTAACAAGATTCTGAGATACAGGCCTACTGTGTATATTTTTAAAGTTGTTTTACACCCCTTAAATTCAAGAAGGCCTTGCTTTGGCAACCCCTAGGTTGGGAACCACTTGTCTAAAGTGCATACTGTTTATCAATGCTGGTTTTATTTACTTATTTAGTTGCAGAATTAGTTTTCAACATAGAGGCACTACAGATAAATGGAACTGTCATGTAGGTGTTCATGCAGTCTGGATCTTCCCCTCAATGCACGTCATTATGTGGAGAGATAGCAGGTAGCATTTGATAGTTGTGTGTGTGTGTGTGTGTGTATATATATAATTTACTAGTTACTGTGTACTTGTTCCACGGGACAGAAAATCATTTCAGAGGGCGTGTGAGAGACAGAAGGAAAGGTGAGCTTGTATATTCACACACACACACACACACACACACACACACACACACACAGTGATGGGACAGATAATACCAGATGAAGATTGAAATGGGAGGAAGAATCAATATTTCCATTCAAACGTCTGTTTCATTTTCTCCAGATTAGAGGAGACTGTTTCTCTCTGTTCCATCACCGACCGACCACCAGGCCACAACAATGTCACTGTGTATATATGTGTGTGTGTGTGTGTTTGTGCATTTCTTTATGTCTGCCCTCACGTGGGATGTAAAAAAAGATGAAGATATGCAACATATGAGGCCACCGAGAGGGGTCTCCATAGGTAACATAAATGTGTGTGCACACGCCTGTCCACATTTGGTACGTTCCATTTCCAGCGTCCACATTGTCCAAATAAACTGTCAACCCTGGAACGGCTGATAAAGAGAGAGAGGTGTGTGTGTGTGTGTGTGTGTGTGTGTGTGTGTGTGTGTCACAATGTTTGTCCTGTGTTATTGGAGCTCTGAGGCCACAGTCTTCTATAAACACCCAGCTGTGAATTATTCAACAAATAAACACATCTAACACCTCACACACATATAATGTATTTGTGCTCACACACACACACACACACACACACACACACACACACACACACACACATATATACACACACACACACAAGCAACATCAATACACACATCATGGTATTCAGACAAAATACATATTTTAAAGATGGATAAATGATATTCAATACACACACACACACACACACACTAACCTGTAAAGATTGTAGATTGGGCTGGGCTGATGGATTCACTTTAGAAACACACTACACACACACACACACACACACACACACACACACACACACACACACACACACACACACACACACAGAGGCCATTTCATTTTGTCTCAGCTTAAGTGGATTTGGCTGTTGGTCAGTTCAGTGGAAGGTGAAACATAGACTGCAGTTGCATTCACTGATAAGGGGCGACACCTACAGGTGTTATTGAGGTACTGCCACAGAACTACCTGCTCAAACTACAAAGGTGTGTGTGTGTGTGTGTGTGTGTGTGTGTGTGTGTGATCCCAACCTTTTTCATATTATTTCATATTATACTCAACTGTACAATGAACCCAAACAGTGAGCAAACACAATAACTGCAGGAAGTTTTTGATTAAACTAATTTTTGGAGATTATTTCCTATGAGTTGAGTTTTCTTGACATTTTTTGTGACTTTTTAAACAATTCTTCATTTTTATTGGACAATAATGCCTAATAGGCTTATTTTTATTTACACATATTCAGTGTTTTCTTCTCCCCTGATGTCTCCTGTGTATCAGAGAGTGAAGGCTCTATGAATACAGCTTGTGTTCAGGTCTTTAAAGTTCAGATCTTTAAAGTTCAGATCTTAAATAATAGAGCTTTGGCGTCCCCCAGCGGCGGTCCCAAACCTCCAGGTGGGGAAATCACTGTGCTAACTTACAGAGCTGCAACTAGATTATTTTAGGATGATTTAATTAAGTGAAACAAAAATTGTGAAAGCCCGTCACATTTTCCCAAAGCTTCAATTGCTTTTTCCATCAAAAGATTCAAAAGAATATATATTCAATTTACAATATATAAGACAGAGAGAAGCAACAAATCAACAAATCACAGTGTAGGAATATATATCTACTCAAGTACTGTAGTTAAGTATTATTTTGAGGTACTTTTTTTTAATTTATGGCACTTTCCACTACATCTTAGAGGCAAATATTGCACATTTAACTGACCGCTTTAGCTGCTAGTCACTCTGCAGATTGACCAAATATATAATAAACTAATAAACTATGATACATACACATATATTAAAGTACCCAGCAGTATATAAAGCAGTACTGAGCTTACACATGAACGCCTCACTAATTATAGTTTAGTAAGATAACGTGTATGTTTCTAAAATCTGCCATTTGGTACAATAGAAGCAGAAGTAGTCATGTGACCTCTGCTCAGTGTACGTTTAAAGAAAAACTGATAATCCTGCTTAATAATCACCATTTCTACTAAATGTAACTGTAATCTGAGTAGAAGCAGTTTTACTATTTGGTACTTAAAGTATAAAACAATAAGAATAATAACTTGTATTTATAAAGCACCTTTTTTAAAAACAGAGTTTACAAAGTACTTTATAAGACACTCAGAAGGTAGTATAACAACAGAGAGCCAGACACGGAGGACAAACAGAGGAAAGGCAGATAAAGAACGAGATGAAACAAATGTTAGAGAGAAACTGATGATGAGAGATAACACAACATGTGATTAATTAAAATGTTTAAAGCTTACCTTTGATGACTGCATGGCACTGATGGTCCAATGATTCAGTGTGTCACCAGAGACGTCCTGATTCCAGTTAGGAAAACCAGTGTGCCAGTGGGACAGCGACCAGTAACTTCTGTGAGCGGAGTATAAATATTAACTCTGTGTATAAACTACCATATAAATACTGTGTATAAACTACCATATTAACTCTGTGTATAAACTACCATATTAACTCTGTGTATAAACTAACATATAAATACTGTGTATAAACTACTGTTATATTGACTCTGTGTATAAACTACCATTTAAATGCTGTGTATAAACTACCATATTAACTCTGTGTATAAACTACCATATAAATACTGTGTATAAACTACCATATAAATACTGTGTATAAACTACCATATTAACTCTGTGTATAAACTACCATATAAATACTGTGTATAAACTACCATAACTCTGTGTATAAACCTTCCTTTAAATACTGTGTATAAACTACCATATTACTTTTAACTCTATAAATTCTGTGTATAAACTACCATATTAATACTGTGTATAAACTACCATATACTCTGTGTATAAACCTTTTCTTGTCCTACCATATAAATACTGTGTATAAACTACCATATTAACTGTGTATAAACTACCATACAAATACTGTGTATAAACTACCATAACTCTGTGTATAAACCTTCCTTTAAATACTGTGTATAAATAAACTACCATATAAATACTGTGTATAAACTACCACATTAACACTGTGTATAAATAAACCGACATATTAACTGTGTATAAACTACCGTTATATTTACGCTGTGTATAAACTACCATATAAATACTGTGTATAAATAAACCACCATATAAAAACGGTGTATAAATAAACTACCATAACACTGTATACAAATAAACGACCATATAAATACTCTGTATAAATAAACTACCATATTAATACTGTGTATAAACTACCACATTAACACTGTATAAATAAACCGACATATTAACTGTGTATAAACTACCGTTATATTTACGCTGTGTATAAACTACTGCTGAGTATAAACTACGGTTATATTAACTCTGAGTATAAACTACCGTTATATTAACTGTGTATAAACTACCGCTGTGTATAAACTACCGTTATATTAACTGTGTATAAACTACCGCTGTGTATAAACTACCGTTATATTAACGCTGTGTATAAACTACTGCTGTGTATAAACTACCGTTATATTAACTGTGTATAAATTACCATATAAATACTGTGAATAAACTACCGTTATATTAACTCTGTGTATAAACCACCACATTAACACTGTGTATAAATAAACCGACATATTAACTGTGTATAAACTACCGTTATATTAACTGTGTATAAACTACCGTTATATTAACTGTGTATAAACTACCGTTATATTAACTGTGTATAAACTACCGCTGTGTATAAACTGACACATTAACCGTTACCTTCTGTCGGTGGCAGGTCGTTTGCTAACGTTAATTGGCAGCCATGTTTGTTCACGCTATAGCTAACGTTACATACTCACGTAGGGGGAAAAGCGCGGGAGCAGGTATCTTTGGGGAAGTCTAAAGTCGAAGTCGCATTTGAACTCTTCTTCTCCTCCTAGAGACATCTTTCATCGTTTTGTGGTAAACTTAATAAAAGTTGCTTCCATGTTCTAAGTTAGCTTTGAGCTACCTTTCTTCTCCGAGCCGTTGAGCGACAGGATCATGCGCAGATGACCTGTTGACTTTTGACTTAGTCCCGCCTTCACTGAGCCCCGTCTCCTTAGTTACGGTTGCTAGGCATGCCGAATTTAGCAATATTAAATATATTAATTATTAATTATTCTAGCATTTAATTATGCAGCTTAAAGTGGTGAATTTACCACTAAATATCATTTTAAAAAGTTTTAATTAACTTTATCAAGAAAATAGACATTCAACTTCCAAAACGTGTATACGAAACATTTCATAATAAAATTTGCACTTAATACTGTATACTTTATATAATGAGTTAATATTTTTTTTAAATTTAATTACAAAACAACAAAAATCGAATAATTTATGCCAATTTATTTATATATATTTGAGCTTTAAGTTTAGTCGTTGGCAAATGTTTTTAAATCAGTACCTATAAAAGCTTAGCTATATATATATATATATATATGTGTGTGTGTATCTATATTTAGCATATAGATGGAAGCGGGGAGAAACAGCTAGCCTGGTCTGAAACACCTACCAACCACCCTTTATCTCTGCCTTGTTGTGTCTTTTATTCATTCGTACACAAACTAAATGTAAAAAAATGACAAGTTGTAGTAATACGGGGAGTTAAGTGCTGGAGCTATTTCTGTAAACAGCAGCATTGACACTGTGAGGTTGTAGAGGCCTCCACAAACAAAAAAAAATTAATTTTAAGTTATTATAAACCCTATAATTGGCCCTTACCTGTATTCATTCATTCAGCTCGTCTCCACTGTGGAAAAAAAAACTGTAGAAAAACTCCAAAACTGGAGCGTAAAATAACTAAAAGGTGCTACATTTTTATCTATAAATGCTTTTTTCTTGTAAAGTAGGCATTCATATAAAAACACATACATATATGTGATCCCTACAATGATAGACTGAAAAAGCATCTTATTAAAAAATCTATTTCAACTTTAGGCATTAAATCAAGCCACAATATAATTAAAATACATTTTTATTACAACTATAACTGCTGCTAAAGTTAACTGTGCAGCAAGTCTACAACTCTGCCTCCCTCTACTGGTCTGAAGGGCACATTTCACCCACACTGTTACTTCAAAATACAACACTGGACCATTAAAAATAAATACATTCACATATAGTATGAGCAAAAGGAAGTGGAATTGTTTTGATAAAGCAGCTGTTGTGAGGAAGTGAACTTACTTTGAGGAGATGATGTAATAAAAATATACCAAACAGGCAAATCTGGAAATGATCAGTCATTGGCGAATGTGTTTACAGAGTTTTTAAACCTGTGTTTATTGATCCACTGACGCGTCTGCTCATGGTTTCAAAAAGCAACTTCAATACAACACAGCCGGCGTTTTCACTTCAGAATAAAAATCTGTAAAAACACACACACACGCACACGCACACACACACACAAAGAAAGGCAAAAAACATACACACAAACTTTCATCGTCAGCTCGGGAACCAACAAACACACCTTAAATAGCAGCTTTTTGTACAGCACACACACACACACACAATACAATAAATGGAAAATTATTAAAAAAAATAAAAAACTTACAGAAACACAAATGAAAAAACAAAAAGGTACCTTATGTTGAATTTACAAATTAAAAAGGGGAATTTCACTGAATCTGAGACTTAAAATGGTTAAAAAGGGGAATTCTGCAGTTTCCTCTACTGATATCAAACATTTTGAAATATTAAAATATTATTATAATAAGGAAAAGCTGTTCTCTATGGTGTCAACTGTTACGGTAAACTTCTCAGGCAATGAGCGTTTCCTCCCAAAAGGTCGTAAAAGTCCAAGTTTTCAGTTGGAATGAATATTTGGGTGAATACAAGACTTTTTAAAAAACAGACAAACACTCAGATTCACATTAGGAGGAGATACAGCATGAAAAGTCTACATTCAACTGAAAGAAAATTAAATTCCCTCGGCATACAGCACTGAAGGTGTAACACAGCGGTTTTTAAAGTGGGGTCGAACACTTTCTGTAGTAAAATCACCTTAAAAGCAAAATCAGATCAAATCTTATGGTGTTTTTTTTAGGACTGCAACTAATGATTGTGTAAGAAATTGATAAGTTATTGAGTTGATAACACGTCAATAAACAGTGAAGAATTCCAATCACAAGTTCACAGCTCCTAACCCCAAATTCCACCGGGCTCGGCTTTGTGGCGCCGGTGTGGCCTCGTGATCCACGCGTCTTCAAATCCCACCGAGAGCGTGTTGTCTGCCCGATGTTGTTTACTTGTGTATTTTGTCCTGAATAACAATACAAAACAGTGTTTCTCCCCCTCGAAGCTCCTCTGACTGACTGACTTCTGAACTTAACGTAGTATTTTATTTTGAAAATTGACCGGATTCTCTGTGCTGTTTCTGTCTGATTTCCTGTCAGTGTGATCTGTTCTGCACTGCTTGACCCGAGTTGGTTCTGGGATGAGTGCCCGGTGGAATTTGGGGATAAGGTGGCGTCCTTGGTTTGTTTTTGTGTCAGACCAACGATCCAAAACCCAAAGATATTAAATTTAAAATCATATAAACCTGTGAAATACAGCTGATTATTTTTGCTTACCGAATGATTAATCCACTACCCAGACTGTTGTTGTTGTTGTTGGAGTATAATACTATCAGAATTATCATTATGAGAACCAATAGAAACAATAAACTGGATTAACTCTTAAGTGAAGATATTTAGTTATTAAGGGTGCCTGCAAATTCCATCAAGTTTACTCTCTCGTTTAAATCCCCCTGCCCATTAAAAACCATCTGAGACCGGTTCAGACTGACAGAAACTGAAATAAAGACTTTAAAACCCGGGGGTGTAACAGTACAAGATGTGATTCAGCATATTCAGCGACTTAAACCTTTAGAGAGTTTTTTTGACAACAGTTAAAGACGTTTTAAAGAAGCTGCAGAATGCTTTTACTAAGAGTTTACTTCTGTCTAGTCGAGCTGATCCGGGGTCCAGACGAGGAACCGGGGTCCTCACAGCTCCGTCTTCTGCCCAGAGAGGGGCGTCTGCGGCTGGATCTCCTCATCCGACGACATCCCTCCATCCATCTTCTCCACCGGGGCTTTGCTCTTCTTCTTTTTCTTCATCTTCTTCTCCTTCTTATTCTTCGTCGCTTTCTCTCCCTCCGAGCTGACGTCCCCTCCCTCCTCTCCCTCCTCGCTCTTGCCCTTTCCCTTCTTCACTCCCTTCTTCTTTTTCTTCTTCTTCTTGTCCTCTGCGATGGCGGCCTGGTCTCCCTTCTTCTTCCCCCTGGACCAATCCTCGCTCAGGCAGGCTGGAACGGAGGAACACGAGGAGAACGGGACAAATAAATGGTGGAGAAAGCAAAACCAATGGAGGAAGGAAGGAAGGATGAAGGGTAGGACGATGGGAGGGATGGAGGCAAGAGGGGGTGAATAAAACAAAAGACAATGTCTGTCCAGACTAATATAATATATGAGGTAAAGACTAATATAAACAGGTTATCACTATATTGATTGTATATGTGATTAATGATTATCAATAGATACACATAGATGAAAACCTTTAAGGAGTATAGGTCCCGTAAAACTTCTAATAATAGCCCGGGTGTTTATTTGCTTAAATCACTGAACTCCCCCTGCCTTTATTCGGGACAGGCCTTTAATTCCTTTAGCACAAAACTAAACTAA